TTTGGTTTTTCAAGACAGGGTTTCTCTGCGTAGCTTTGTGCCTTTCCTGGAGCTCACTTGGTAGTCCAGGCTGGCCTCGAACTCACAGAGATCCTCCTGGCTCTGCCTCCCGAGTGTGACCAAGACTTCTTAAGCCACAGCTTGACCTTTGGAAAAGTCCTTGACTTTTCCCAAGTAGTAGCTTTTGTGATAGTAGCTGAATTCCATTATATTTTCCTGCAGCTTGCAGCATCCCATGAGAAGACCAAGCCACACAATTGCAACACACGTGCAGAGGGCCCATGTAATTTCTCTGGTTGGTGGTTCAGTTTCCGTGAGCCCTCAAGAGGCCAGGTTAGTTGACTCTGTGTTTTCCCATGGTATCCTTGGCCCCTCTAGCTTGCATAATCCTTCCTCCCACTCTTCCACAGGGTTTCCTAAGGTCTGTCTAATGTTTGGCTTTGGGTCTCGGCACCTGTTTCCATCAGTTGCTGGGTGAAGCTTCTCTACTGACAGTTGGGCTAGGCAGCAGTCTATGAATATAGCAGAGCATCATTAGGAATCATTTCATTGACTTCTTTTTTGCCAGTCATGTTTGGTTCTATCCTAGGACTCTGGGCTGTCCAGTCTCTTGGTTCTGGCCCTCCAGACATTGTCAGAGGTGGGCTCCCTCTGACAGTGTGGGTCTCGAGTTGGACCAGTCATTGGTTGGCCACTCCCATAATTTCTGCACCACCTTTGTCCCACCATATCTTATAGGCAGGACAAATTGTAGGTCAGAGATTATATGCCTGGGTTGGGGTCCCAATCTTTCCACTGGAAGTCTTGTCTGGTTACAGGAGATGACCAGTTCAGGCTCCATATTTCCCATTACTCAGAGTCTTAGCTAGGGTCACCCTCATAGATTACTGGGAGTTTCCACTGCACTCAGTTTCTAGCTTGAGATATTGATTCTTTTAAGGTGATTTCTACTAATAGATTATTAAAGATATAGATAAGTGATAGATGACAGTGGTAGATGATAGATAACAGATAATTAATACATGATAGATATGAAGAGATGAAAGACAGATAGACAACTGATAGATAATCTGTTAGTACATGGGTCTTATCTAGTCTCCCACATCTCTGGGTATAGAGGCTTAGTCAGGTGTATCCAGAAAACCTCATCTCACACAGATCGCTAGCCTTTACTTTTTAAGGCTATTTGGAAATGTCTAGCCTCATATCGAGTGTTTTCTAAGTTGCTAGGTTCATTGTTCCATTTACTTCTAATTTTTTAGTCCCTCTAAATTGAAAGAAAAGACTGAGCTAGGCATGGTGGGAATGCCTTTAATTCCAGTGCTTGGGAGGCAGAGGCAGGAAGATGACTGTGAGTTCGAGGCCAGACTGGTCTGCATAGTGAGTTCCAGGACAGCCAAGGCTACACAGAGAACCCATTTGCAAAAAGACAAACAAAAAAAGGAAGAGAGAGAGAGAGAGAGAGAGAGAGAGAGAAGAGGAAGAGGAA